CGGGCTTCCTGGAATCAGCCGCTGATCAGTTTCAGCAGCAGCTGAATCTGGATGCCAGTTCCAACTTACATACAGATTCAACTTAAGAACAAACCTACAGTCCCTATCTTGTACGTAACCCGGGGACTGCCTATACTATATATTTGAGTTTGTACATCTGTGTGTCCGTCTATGCATCTCTGTTCAAGAACTCATCCTAAAACAGGGATGGGAATCAGCCGCTGATCAGTTTCAGCAGCAGCTGAATCTGGATGCCAGTTCCAACTTACATACAGATTCAACTTAAGAACAAACCTACAGTCCCTATCTTGTACGTAACCCGGGGACTGCCTATACTATATATTTGAGTTTGTACATCTGTGTGTCCGTCTATGCATCTCTGTTCAAGAACTCATCCTAAAACAGGGATGGGCAATAATTTTTTGCTGGGGGCCACTTCAGAAATTTTTGAAGTGGCCCCAGGCTGCACCGGAAGGGGCGGGGGCTCAAGCAGAAGGGGTGGGGCCAGGATATTTCCTTGCTTCCCCACCCTCAGATCATGATGCCCTGGCAGTGGGAGACTTTTCATGCTTCCCCTTCTGTCCCCAGACCAATCAAAAGTCTCCTCCTGCCCTGCCAGGAGTGCGTGGCACTTCTAAGTGCCGCACGTTCCTGGCAGGGTGGAGGGAACTTCATGCGCTTCCTCCTGCCCCCAGGCCTTAATTGGCCTGGGAGCAGGGGAGTAGCAGGGACTCTGTGGTCCAGATCCAGCCTGCAGAGGCCCTTTTGCCCAACCCTGTTTTAAGAGATAGGACTCCCAAATTTGGTAGGAAGCGTCCCCTAATTTAAAGCAAGGGCAGGGTTTGCGTGTGCCAGGACAATGGGATGTGCATGGAATGTGATTTTTTTTTTTTTTTTTTTTTTTCTCATCATATGGAAAGGGAGATGTGAGTAGTTATAATCATGAATGGCCATGGAGGGCAGGGAGCAAGTTCCCTAGTCCTGGGGAACAGATGCTGGCCGGCCCCTATCCCCAAGATCCTCCCCCGTGGCCACCATGGCCTCTCCCTGCCCCATGGAGCAGCTGGTGTGAGGCTTGTCTTCCCCTCCCCTCCCGCCCCTGCCTAGGTGAGCCCTGACCCCAGGTAATGCTGTGTAAGTCTTGTAGTTTCATATAACTGAGAATTATTTTCCTTAAGTGACTTCCCCCTCTCTCCACCCCTTGATAGCTGAGTATAGTGTAATGGAAATACGTGTGTGACTGTTGTGAAAAAATTGGTATCTGTGTACAGAATACTCCGTTGCCTGTGTGTATGTCCATATAAGTGTCTTATAAAATAAACAATATCAGCATTGCATTACCAGGCAGATTATAATGTATATTCAAAGAATAATGGTAGAAATGATTGGTATCTTTAGAAAATAAGAATGACCATACTGGGTCAGACCAAAGGTCCATCTAGCCCAGTATCCTGTCTTGCTGACAGTGGCCAGTATCAGATGCCCCAGAGGGAGGGAACACAACAGGTAATCCTCATGTGATCCCTCCCGTTATCCACATCCAGAGAAACAGAGGTTAGGGACACTATTCCTGCCCATCCTGGCTAATAGCCATTGGTGGGAGCTAACCTCTGGGGTTCTCTTTTGAACCCTGTTAAAGTCCTAGTCTTCACCACATCCTCTAGCAAGGAGTTACAGAAATTGACTGTGCTGAGTGAAGAAAAAGTTCCTTTTGTTTGTTTTAAACCTGCTACCTATTAATTTCATTTGGTGACGCTTAGTTCTTATCTTGTGGTAATAAGTAAATAACTTTACCTTATCCACTTTCTTTCCATACCAGTCATGATTTTATAATCATTTGCAGGGTTTGTTTTTGGTATACAAGTTGTCACTGGAGTAATGAATGTTCTAACTGTTAATATTTTTTTTTTTCTGGCCGCATACTGCAGTAACTCTTTACAATACTGCTTGAGATTGAGTAGAGTGGATTGTTTGAAACCACCTGTTTATAATAGCAGCCCTCTTGCATGCTTGGTGCCTATTTTATTAGAGATGGTCACTCTTCCAATAGCATAAAGTCTAACTTAATACATAAGCAGGTATAACAGTTGGAAGAACTTGGTGGGTGGGGAGCACCTAATGAGAATAATAGGAAATGCTTGGTTATAAAGGCTAGTTATGCATGTATTCTCATGGTTCTGTATCAATCACTTTATATTAGTTAGCTCCATACACTCTATCTTGATATGAGACAAGGAGGGTAATTGACACTTCTAAAACGTGAAAGGAAGTATGCAAAAGAATTCTCTTCTGTATTCTGAAATATTATTACATCTGAATGTGAAAGCTAAACAATAGAATAACTGTTCAAGTTTTGTAACATTAACACTTTTATCTGTTCTAGAAAATATCTTTGGAATCTCTGACGTCCATATGGCTATGTATGATGAGGATCTCTTGAAAAATCCTTTTTATTTGGCTATTCAGAAACGTCGTCCTGACCTTTATAGGAAAGTTGCAGAATTTCATGGTATTGTAAGTAAAGAGATGCTTGTTTTTTAAATTGACTGATTACACACAGGATCAGTAAAATCTCTCAGATCCTCACTAAAGTTTAGGAAAGGGTGAGAGCAAGCCAACAAACTAATTCTAATCTGAAATGCATAAATATCTCAAATTGCGTTTATTTTTAATATACAGATGATGGAATGAATGGAGCGGGACTTCTACCATCTGGGAAGCAGCTACTGACTAGCAGCATGGCCCCCACTACCCTGGCCTGGCCTTTACAATTATGATTCATAGACCTAAAGTATGGGACTGGCACTTATGTGCTGATGAACATACAAACCAGGGACTTCAGTATGGGAAGAGAATAATGTCCTTTGAAAAACGACCTACTTTATTTTGTGACATGAGGCTAATTCCAAAGCCTGTGGAAGACGTCTTATTTGGTTAAATATCCTTACTTATTTTTGGGCTATTGAATCATCCATTAGCAATGACAAGGGGAAAAACTGGTCAGACTATTAGATGCCAACTTCATGAGATTTGAGGGAAAACATTATGTAAACAATAAATCTGTAGTTCTAGTTCTTACAACTTTGTTTTGTTGTGGGAATTGGGGAAGGGTCAAAACTCTGATTTTACACAAGATTTGTCTTAAATCTGTATTAATGATAGTTGAAAACTTAACCTTGTCTTCATACACAAGTAGGCCTGCTCAATATCCTGTTTTCTATAACTGGTGGAGGAAGACATTGCACAGTATTGTTGGAACAAGCTTTCTGTGTAAAATATTATTTTAACGCTGTGCCTTTTTAAAGGTTATGTAAATTACTTAATTTAAACTTTTAAATGTTTGCAGCACAAAGTGAAAAAGTCATGTTAAAGAATAAAACTTTACAGTTCTTTTAATTCAGTAATTTGCTTGTTCAGGAATAAATCAGAGGCATAAATCAGAGGCAATAGGGCATGCATTTTTTTTTTAAATTAGGGAGGCTGGAGAGAAGGGGACTCTAAACAGTGTCCAATCAGTGCTTTGTGAGTGTCTGAAACAGCAGTGCTGCTATTAGAAATGTAAACATTTGCAGAACTTACACTTATCAGGATTCTTGATACCTGCTTCTGTTTTTCTCATGTCAGGTCTGACCTCCTTGTGGAGGTGATTCTGCTGCTGATAATGGCATTGCTTTTTATGCCTCCAGAATAAAAGCACTTGTTTCTATGGGCGGTGTTAATCTTTCCAGAGAGCAGGGCTCTTACTTCAAGGTTAGAAGTACTTCTGTAAAAAGTATTGTTCAATACTGAAAGGGTTTTACTTAGGAAAAACTAAATGTTTGTGCAGTTTGAGAGAACAGGCATGGAAAATGTTTATTCTGTGCTGATAGCTACATTTGACTTGAAAACTAGGCATGTATGTTACCAATTTCTTAAGAGAAGAATAAGGACTCAGAATATTCACCAGGTAGTTTTAATGGTAGCAAGAATGTGTGTGTAAGAGCTAGTATGCCATTTGCCATGGTTCCTTTTTATGACTGCCGCTCTTCTCCTTACCACCTGATGGTTTTGACCTTTTTGTGACAAGTATCCAGATGGCAATGACTTGGAAATGCAAGAGAGAATAGTACTGCTGCCTCCCTAGTATAACTGTTATACCAGAGAGAGAGATTGGCCTGTCTCAGATTAGCATATTACTAGTCCGATGAGGCGCTGCTTTAAATGTAGAAACTGATGTGATCTTGTGATGTTTGCAGAGCCAGCATTAGGCATAAGCACACTAAGCAATTGCATAGGGCCCTGAGCAGCTGAAGAGGGCCTCCCATTTACAGTAAAATTCCAGTTGTCTGGCATCCAGTGGTCTGGCACTCCTGATAGTCTGGCACCACCTGGAAGTGCTCCAAGCAGCTGGAGAATTGGAGCTGCTCTGCCCTGGGATTCCCGGTCAGCCGCTGGTCAGTTTCAGCAATGGCTGACTTGGGAACACCCGGGGCAGAGCAGCAGGGGAGCTGCCAGGTTGGTCTCGCAGTGCCGCCCCCCCCTTCCTATAGTCCGGCATACTGATAATCCGGCACCCCCTGGGTCCTAAAGGAGCCGGATTATCGGAAGTTTACTGTACCTCTTATTATAAGAACTTGCCTGTTTCAGTATTGTGGGAAGGGGAGCAAAATATTCCTGCTTATGGATCGTGGGTATTCCTGCTTGGGGATACTGCATGTATCATGAATCGCCAGAGTACTAACAGGCAGAGATGTAGAGAACTGAATTAATAAGGTGGTGTATCAGAGGATGATTTTGAAGATGTGTCTTCCATGTTAAAGATGAGGAACAATGACTGAGCAGCATGAGGTAGGGAACATTGATGGAGCATTACTATGCTGTCTGTGAATGAAGAATCTGGTGCTGGATTGACGGCTCCCGGGAGCATCAATCCAGCACTTTCCTTGGGCACTAAGTTCTCTCTCACAAGCTGAAGACAGATCATACTTTAAGTGAGTAATAGAGCTGAACTATACAATGTTCCTCTAGAGACTATATAATTTACCCTAGAACAGGGGTTCTCAACCTTGTTCTCTGAGGCCTTCCTCCTAACATACTTCAAAAACTCCCTGGGGCCCACATTTGTTTTTCAGGGTATCCAGCAGATTTAAAAACCAGGGTCCGTGTTAAAGGAAGCAAGTGGGGCCTTAGTCTCAGAGGGTCCTCTGTTGTGTAAGTTAGACTTCAGTTTCAGCACTGAGTGGGGGCACAGGCTTTGACTTTCTGCCTCATACCCCAGCTAATCTAATGCTGACCCTAGGGATGTAAAATTTTGATGAATTGGCTATTTTGAATAGTCGATGCAATTTGCATTGACTGTTTAATTAGTTAAGAGTGCTTCACTTCAAAGGTGAAAGCGCTGTGGGGAACATGGGTCAGCGGGGGACTCAAGCAGTCCCCTGCTGGCCCCGGGCTCCTCATGGTGTTTCAAAGTGGCAGCGCTGCATGGAGCCCAGGATCAGTGGGGGGGTCCCCAGGTAAGTGGAACCTTTGAAAGCAGTGTTTCTCAGCCAGAGGTCTAGAGCCTTCTTGGAGGGGGGGGGGAGGCCATGAATAAACTAAAGAGCTGGGTCAGCTAGGGATGTGAACGACTAACGGACTATCTGATAAACAAATGCTTATCCTATAGTCAACACGCTAGTCAACTAGTTGCTTTGACCCCTGCCCCTCCCCTTGCTGCCAAAAGAGGCA